CTGGGATCTGAACCTGCGAGAACCTGGGGTGCCAAAGCAGAGTGGGTGAACTTAACCACTACGCCGCCAGGTTGGCCCCTAAATGTGATTTTTAAGGTTAAAACTGAAATCGAACCCAGACCCTCCTTACTTTAAATTAGTCCATGCTTCTACTATAACACACTGTCTCATGTTCTTGTCCCTTTCCCCTACTATCTTCTTGCATGTTTCCCTAAAGCCTTGCAGTGCACTGATTTGTAATGGCAACAGGCCTACAGAATGGGTTACGAATGATACACATATGCCAGCTTTGTATATGCTAAAGCTGATTAACAACACACATGTAAGGCATAAAATATGCCTTAATATTATAAACACATACATAACCTTCGGTATACACAAAGCTTTAAATGTTAATTTTGTTTTTGAGAATATAAGTAAGCATTCATAAGCAAATAAAGAACTTAAGACCAATACAATAAATATTAAGGTGTCTTGTGCAAATAATCTTCAGTGTTTACAAAGATGTTCACAGTTGTTTACTGAAATATTTATAATAGCAAAAGACAGGAACAATCTAAATGTACAAAAATCAAAAACTGAATAAATAAATTATGGTGTACCCATAGCACAGAACACGATGGAGTCATTAGAAATCATGTTTTAGAAGAACGCATTTTATGAGGAAACACGTACACAGCGTGGAGCTGTTAAATACGAACAGTAAGAACAGAGTGAAAGAATTGTGTAAATATTTGGATTTACATATAAATATAAAATAGTGGAAGACCAAACATCAAATTGTCAACTGTGGTTGGCTTTGGCTGGGAATACTGTTCTTTCCCCCTCTTATTGTCCATATTTTCTAGGTTTTTAAGGAAGGGATGTATTACTGATACCAGGAAAAAACCCAGTAGTTGCGTCCCCTCGTGTACACGGGTAAGGCTTGCTTGTTGTGGATCAGCGAGGCTTGGCCTACGGGGTAACTGAGGCTCAGGATGGATTGTGGGGGCTGAAATGGGGAGGGGAGAAGAGGTAGGAGGAGAAAGGAGAATGGGTGGGTCAAGGTCTGAGAGAACAAACCCCTTCACCTACGTGCCTCTACCTTCCCTAACCCCTCACAAAGTCAGACCGTTCCAGAAGAGAGAGAACAAGAGAGGACTCATCCAGGGACCACAGAATCTACAGCTATGAGCAAAGGTTGGTGTCATCCTGAGAAGCCACAAATCTTAAGTAAAAATAAAGCTTTTATGAAGTTGGCCTCGTACGTCTAAGTCATTGCTTAGATTAATTTATGTATGTTTATAATGACCAGTCAACTCTGATAGTTAATATTAAAAGTAACCCAAAGGAATACTCCTTTAATTATATAGAAGTTGTAGCTTAATAATCAATTGATTTATTATTTCTAAATTATTGTTTAAATATTCATATGCAATGGCCTAAAAAGGACTAACATCTAACATATTAGCCTATAACATTTATTCAGTATTTGCAATACGCTAGGCACTGAGCAAGGCTTACATGGGTTGACTAGCTTAATAACAGTGTGTTAGAGGTTATTATTCTTCACACTGAAGAAACTGAGGCTCAGAGAGATGACTTGACCAAGGATGCACAATTAACAAGTGGCAGAGTTGGGATTTAAATTCTGGAATTCTTATTCTAGCAAGGCTTATGCATTTACACTACTCTATACTATTGAAAATAATTGGCAAAATTGAGATAAATGACAAATTTAGGAAGGCAGGAAGGAATTCTAAGTGGAGAAGCAGAGGCTAAAGGGGACAAGATGGAGAAGGAGAAATAGGATATGGAAGAACAACAGCATTAATGAAGCCATGAAATGTGCTGGCACGCACTCAGGAAGCACCCAGAGCTGACAGTGAGCAAGCTCCACTCCGGAGCTGAATGAGCTGCAGATGGTGGAAAAGACTATTTCCATGCCCCACCCCTTGGAATTTCTCAGTGTCCTAGCATCCTGAAAATTACTAATTCTGCTCCAGGGAGGAGGAAATCCACCAGAGGGAAAAATCTATTGAGAACCTAGGATGATGTTTGATGGGAGTGTATCTAAAACTTGATAATATGATGGGAGAAGTGGTGAAAAGAAGGTGGTTGGTCACCTTGTATTCTATGACGAGTAAGTATGAATATTCCAAATTACTCTACTGAATTGCCCATTTATCCTGTTTTATATTACAGTGTCTATCATTAAAAGTGTTGTAATAGAGACGCTAGAGCTATGACTGTGAAGGTTCATTCATCATGCTGGAGGGGATGGCTTAGTGGACAAAACACCAGCTTTCACCGGCTATGACACTGCATCCAGAGGTTAATATGCAAGTGACATTGCCTCAGCAGCTCATCTTCTGAAGGAAGCTAGTTCCACAGAGTTTACTCAGATGGGTGGAGGGTCCTTTGGACAATGTCCAGAAGAAACTTGCCTATCCTGCCTGGATAATGAAGATTCCTAGAACTTTTGTAAACTTAGGATTTACCCCAACTTCCTGGAAGCATGAGATATGAGAGAAACGAAGGATCTTCTAACACCTTCTTAGAATTGGTGCCCGATTCTGGCTAGCTCTCCCTTCTTCATCATCAGCCTTACACAAGCTAATTTAGCCTTCCTCTAAACTACTTCTTTCCATTCAACTGTTTAATACTGTAACTATATTTTAGATGTCTATAACAGACTCTTTACTTTCTGTACCCTCCTCAAAATTTCTTAATCTTAACATTTATATTCAAATCAGTCCATTCACCACTTTCATGACATGACCCATTCTTTTATGAAAAAAATCCTTCACTTTTGTGGCTTTAGCAATTACTTTACAATGATAAACTAGGAATGTTTAGTAGTTCACAAAAATAATGCTGCTACTATATAAATCAACCAAAAACTAAACTCATGATTCCATCCTTATAAAATTATACTTTAAAAAATTTATCAGCTAAATTTGTATCAGTTTGAAGAAGCCTTTATTCCAGTCGTAATCTCAAAATCAATGCAGCATACATTTACTGAGTATTCACCACGTGTCAGATATTGTTCTAAGCAATTGGCTACCAAGCTAAAAAAAAAAAAAGCCAGTGCTGTCCATGGTGCAGTCTAGTGAAGATGGCAGACAACTATAAACAGGTGTTAAGTGCTATAACCACAGTAAATAAAGTGCCCTAGAAACAGACTGATTCTCTCCACAAACTCAGAGAAGTAGCTTTGAGTAGGGACTAGAAACCTCTTATTTCTAAATGTATAGTTTGACAGGATCTGATTTTCAGATCTGAGCTTCTAAATTAGTCTAAATCTCAATTTTTGTGGGGAAATGTTTCAAAGGTAAGTGATACACATCATTAAACCTATAAGGTTAGGACTACAGGAATTTGAGAAACTGGAGAAGTGAGAATAATATGAACCTAAGCTAATTTTATTCATGCTCCAAAATCTTCACATAATGATTTCCTCTTTTAGTTTTTTTCTTCTGCAAGCTCATTCCGAGATTTCATCACCAGATTTTTCACTGCCATCCTCAGACATTATCAATCTTTCTGATACATCACACACTCCTCCTCCTTTCTACTCTTCATGACTCCTAGATGGGACTGCTTCCATATATGCTGACATTCTGGTTATGACAACGATCAAGCCCTCCCTGTTCCAGCTACCTCTGCCATTAGATCACTATCGCCTTCTTTAATATGCACTGTTAATTGTATTTGTTTATTTCCCACACATAATGCATGAGGTGGTCATTTAGTTATATTTCATTCCTATTGTCTGGCTATATGGAATCTCTTTCTATATTAATTCATGCTTTCTCATTACTTTCACTGTAATTTACAATATCTACACATTTTACCCTTAAATTCTCCAGATAATTATGAAGGAAGTGGAAATGTAGCAATCTTTAGTTATTTCTCATAAACTCTCAAATTTCTTTCCCGAAATTTCCCATTATCCAAATATTTATTTCTTCGGGATGACTGCAAGGTTATATACAGGACTGCCTTCCAGCATTCAGCATACCCAGGTATCTAGATAGAGGCATTAGAGCTAGAATACATGGCAGGGAACAAGACCTGTTCACACTGCCTTCACTCAAAATGTCTTTCAGCGAGGATTAGGACTGTGTGTGGCCAACCGGCTGTCTAAGTTAGCTGCACACCTGACTGGTGCCCTCTGGTGGTAAGAGGATACTCTGTAGGGTGGCTGTGGTATAGAGCCTCAAATCTGTCTTCACACCTAGGGGCCTGAGTATCCCCTGGCTCCAATTTTGTTAATTTTATATAAACTTGGTCCTTCCTTTCCCTTCTCTTCCTTTATTTTCCTTTTTTCTTTTCCTGTCTTATTTTTTTATTTTTTATTTTTCTGAGGAAGATTTGCCTTGAGCTAACATCTGTTGCCAATCTTCCTCTTTTTGCCTGAGGAAGATTCACCCTGAGCTAACATCTATGCCAGTCTTCCTCTATGTTGTATGTACATCGCCGCCACAGCATGCCTGATGAGCGTGTAGGTCCGTGCCCAGGATCTAAACCCATGAGCCCAGGCTGCCGAAGCAGAGCACATCAAACTTAACCACTAGGCCACGGGGCCAGCCCCTCCTGTCTTATTTTTTTAACACCTTGTACACAGTGCTGATTTAGGCCTTTACAAAGGAGTGTACAATCAGTCTACAGGAGAAACTCATTGATCACGACAATGTGGTATAATGACTTGTGACATAAAGTTTGATTTGGTCACAATAAAATGTCAGCTGTTCTTGAAAGAGGAGCCTGATCATCCATTTGCCATTTCTCATGACAAGAAAAACATGAGCATGAATGCATTCTGAGGGGTTTTGCTCTACTAGAAAAAAATATTCATTCAATATTATAATTGATAAATGGGAACTAAGATAAATTGTGAAATGTCCTTTTCAATTTAACATTAGATTCAAGTAGCACCTTTAAAAAATGTAAATTTTATTCTCTCTAAAGTTAGCAATGGACAAAGATGACAACTCAAATTCCTCTCTACTCACCAAATTCTGAGTCTTGTGTATGAATCCAAGTGTTTCTAAAAAGAAATCAATGTAATATTTGTCGTCTATGAACATATCAGTTGGTGTAGCAGTATTTCATTTAATGTTTATCTGTGGCCTGAAAAAGTTTATTGCCTCTCTAAACATCTGTCAATCCAGTTCAAAAATTTGCATTTGATATCATCTAAATATAATTTCTCAGAAAAACAGGAAATGTGGGTAGCTGCACCAGCTTACCGGTGACTTCTGGAAAAGGGAGTATTTCTATTTTTACTTTATAAAGAGGTGAATTATTCCACCTGAGTCATCACATATATATTTTGAGTTCCAGAAAAGGGTCTATATTAGAATAAGAAAGTGAATTAAATTGGTTGAAACTAATTTAAACTCTCATTATTTTCTTCATCAAACTCAACTTCTTCTGGAACTTTTACTCTCGCTTCATAGTTTGTAAATACTCAGCAATTCAAATGCAGGGTCTAGGAATTCCCACTAACATCTAATTGACAAACAAAATGAAAGGCTCTCATTCAAGACTTGGAGAAAGCAAGAGAATCACAATTGTCTGCAATGTAGAAACACCACCTGACAAGAGTAAAAGTCGAAGGAAAGGGCAGAATTATTTTGTATATTTGAATATAAAACAAGTCATGGAAAAAAACCTAGATCGATCCATGAAATGAAACTGTTCTCTCTGTGTCTACTCTTGCCCCGCTAGAGTCAGTTCATCTTCAGACAGTTTGAGTAATCTTTTTTTTTTTTTGAGGAAGATTAGCCCTGAGCTAACTACTGCCAATCCTCCTCCTTTTGCTGAGGAAGACTGGCCCTGAGCTAACATCCATGCCCGTCTTCCTCTACTTTATACGTGGGATGCCTACCACAGCATGGCTTTTGCCAAGCAGTGCTATGTCCGCACCCAGGATCCAAACTGGCGAACCCTGGGCCGCCGAGAAGCAGAACATGCGCACTTAACCACTGTGCCACTGGGCTGGCGCCTGAGTAATCTTTTAAAAACTTAAGCCAGACCATGTTAATCTCCTGCTCTCAGCCATCCTTGGCTTATATCAAAGTCCTTACCATGGCCTACAGGGTCCTGCATGAACTAGCCCTGCTATCTTCTCAACAGCATTTCCTACTGGTCTCCCCATAGCTCATTCATGTTTAGAATCAATCATGTCTGTCAAACAAATTGGCAAAGTGACATTTGTTTTTGTGTTTAATCTGTCATTCCAAAGGCTGTTTGGGTTTTCCATAATGAAATGACAAATGCTAACGTAGGTACGATGGACCAATATGATGACTGCCAAGAGGCAGAATACAGTTGATGGAAGTTAGTCATACATATACCTAACTCTCCCAAGAAGCTCTTCTTATGGAGGTGTCAGCAATTAGGGCAGGAATTACTCTGCTGATGACATGCCACTAAAGACTCACCTGCAGCTACTATGATAACATCTGCCAGCTGTGTATGGATCTTCAATTGTTCTTTGGGGGTATATCTGTGAGCTATTGTCACAGTTGCATCACCTGGAATGCAGAAGAAATCTTGTTAATGATTACAGAGCTTTGTCAAAATTTATGAATGCACCAATTTTAGAGTAGTTTCAGTTACATCCAAAAGGCAGGAAAATTGCTTTGAAATGATCAAATCACTTTGAGAACAAAAGCTAGATAAGAAAACTTAGAAGACCCAAAATGTAGTGCTGTTCAACTGACCAGTGGAAAATCAGAGACCAAAATGAGGGTATGCGCTGACCATCAGAGGAGAGCTATAAGTAGAGTCCTAGAAACCCAGCATTTGAACGTATTGACAGGTTAATACACAGATGCAGGGGATGCGCATTAGCTTGATAATAAGATATGTAAATACTGAAGACAGCAAGATAAGTGCACTAAAAATGGGGCAACGTATTGTGTGAGCTCTGGTGAGAGATTACTTCTGCCTCGTCTGTAGCAGGTGCCTCATCTTGAGGAGGTGTCGAGGAAGGGTTCCTAAAAGAGGCAATATAGTTTTTTAGGGTCTTAAAGTATAAGCAGGTGTAACCTAATCAGGACAGGAAGAAAAGGGCATTCCAAGCCAAAAGAAGAGCAGGGAAAAATGGACCAACTTTGAAATTATGAGTTCAGGAAATGATGAAGAGGTCTAGGATATAACAGGAAGTATTCATACATGCTTTAATGAAGTGATGTGTGATAACAGAGGTTAGCAGGCTGATGGATTCCAGTGTTTAAAATGTGAGTGAGACAAAGGCAGCGACGAGGACAGTCAAAGGAAGGACTTGAAATAAGAACATGGCTGTGTGAGACAGTATCTTCTCTCTTCCCCTCCTGGATAACATACAAATGCTACACAGTTAATGACAACAAAAACTGCACAATCTCCATTTTTAGCAAGAAGACACATTTAACACATTTAACAGACTCCAAGAACACTTAAGAGTTACCCAGGAGCAGCAGAGTTAGTAGAAACCACACGGGAGAAATGCAGCAAAGAAATGTAGAGAATAAAAAGGCAGCCAGCAGCCCAGATCTCCAAAAACGACTGTAGAAAGATACTTCCTGAATGTGAAGCATTCACGTCAAAACGCAAAATATATCTCTCTTATTTGTAGCAGAGAAAATAGGAACAAAAGCAGAAGTGGCCCTGTTGGACCCAGTACAGTTTACAATGGGTGGTAACACAAAGACATATGCAGAGGAGCCAATTCAAGAGGAAGCAGTTTAACTCTGTGAAAGTGGTGAAGGAGGAATCTGAAGGCTGCCTAGCACCTCCTCCCCAACCCCTAGCAGAAGTATCCCGCCAACAGCAGACCCAAGAAATCAAACCCATTCAATGATAAGAAAATTTCAAAGGAGTTGACACAGCATTAATAAAAGGATACTATATAAGGATCAGCCCAGGGGAGTTGTGGGTGCGATGGAACTGTTCTGATTCTAGTGGTAGTTACATAACTATAGGCATTTGTCTAAATTCACGGAACCGTATACCAAAAAGAGTGAATTTTACTACATGCAAATTTTTTAAGTAAATAAAAGGATATGTTTCAAAAGTGGTAGACTCAAAAAAACAAAAGCAAAAAATCTTTTTAAAAGAATTTACCAACATACCAATAAACTCAACAGAAAAATGTTATGAAAAAGTTGAACATTATGACCAACCATTATGCCAAAAATTTAAAAACTAAGAATTTAAAGTCACAAAAAAGTGGGGGGAAAAAGACTCAAATCCACACAAATTGACCTATAATGGCCAACACTGAGACATATTTCAGTAAAGGTGCTAGATTTTTAAGTTTAATTTTTTTTTAATAAAAGAATCCTATGAGCAATCAGGCAAAAATTCAGATTTTTACATCAACTCCAGAAAACAGCAGAGCAATACTTACAAGAGACTCATGTAAAGAAACTGGGAGTCAATGCTTTTATATCCAGTCAAATCCTCCAAGATTAAAGGTTGCAGACAATTTTGAAGATGTAAAAACTCAGGGAATATTGTTCCCATGAGTTTTGTGTGAGGAATTTGCTAAAAGATGAACTTTAATGAATCAAAATATATCTGAGGAAACTTGCAAAAGCACCATTGGAGAGTTTTGAATATATTTAATGACAAAACTAAGACTTAAAAAAAGCTGAGGATTGGAGTGACAGACAAAATGTAATGCTATTTGCTCTGATTATGTAGAAATGGTACAACTAAAAAAATTTAAATGGGAAGGGCAAAAATGAGAAAGTTTGCTGATTGTCTAATTTCTAATGACTGAAATTGACAGATATCATTTAAAGCTGACCAACCAAATAATAGAAGTATAAGAATATTTAAAAGTATAAGGAAACATACTACAAAGATAATTTTTATTGGTAAATATCAGGTAGGAGACAAAAGAAATGGAATCAGGGAAGAAAAAGGAAACATTTTATAATTTCTTTTATTAGAGTATCAGTGGATACCATATAAAGAAATAGATAACTAAGGGTACTGCGTAAAGTTAAAATTATTAAGGTGACCACAACCTTCCTAAATATAAGAAAAACCATACACTAAAAAAAATTGTAAGAAATAAATAGAAACCATAAAAACAACAAACAGAACAGAAACTAATATGACAATTCAGACCATATATTTGTCATAACAATAAATATAAATTTTTGTATCTATTTAAAAGAATAATATTTTCAAATTGGCTCACAAAGCAAAATCTAATTCTAAACTTTATGTAAGACACATCTAAAACAAAGCTGTTTAGAAATGTTGAAAATAAAAGACGTATAGCAAATGTATAGCAGGAAAATGGAAAAAAAAAAGATGACGTTCTTAAATAGAATAAGGAGGTACACATTATAATGCAAAGCGGTGATTCAAATGAAGATAGAACAATGACAAATATATAAGCAACAAACAAAAGAGAAATATAATTCATACAGTAGAAATTACAGAAGATACAAATAGAAAAAGAAACACGTATTCGCTAAATTTAATTCACCTGTCTAATCCATGACAGATCAAAGATATAGAAAACATAAATAACATAATTAATGCTATATACTCGATTAAAATATATCAAATTCTGAAAGTAGATCATGTATTTCCTTTCATGTACCCAAAGAATATAATTTTAAATGGTAAGATTTTGTCTACTAATAAAATTTTAATTATTAACAAAGGACAGTTAGATAAACTACAGATTTTTTTATCACAACTCTAAAGTTATAATTATGACAAAATCAGGAATTAAAGTCCCTTCCACTGGAAATTTTTTTTAAATCCTACTTTAATCAATCCTCAGGTCAAAAAAACCCCACAAAACCACATTGAAGAATTTCTAGAAACATTTATACTGAAAGTACTACATACTAGATGCTATAAAATAAAGATAAAGCAAAGCTTAGAGAAAAATTCATAGACAAATTATTTTATCAATAAAAGAGAAATAAGAAAAGAAGTGAATTAATCATTTAACTTAAAAAGTTAGATAAAAAACAATAAAATAAACAAAAGAATTTAGAAAAAGATCAATAAACATAAAAGTCAAAACGTTAATATTAAATAAATCTAAAAACTGGAATATTATAAGCAATGAGAGAATTCAATAAGTTAGCCAAGTAAAAAATGAATATACAGTAATAAATAGCTTTCATATATAACATGTTATAAGATATAATGAAAGAAAAGACCCTATTATGATAGCAATACAAAAGACAAAATAGTAAGAAATAAATTTAACAAGTTTAGGTGCAAAATCTATATGGTAGGAGAAAATCTCTAGAACACCACCAAAGGATATAAGTAAGACTGAGGAACTAGAAAGATGAACTACGTTCTTGGATAGAAAGACTCAATATCATAAAAATATCAATTCTCCCTATGTGCATTACAAATTTAATACAACTTCAATTAAAAAATTGTAATTTTGCTTTTTTGGGGGAAGGATATAATTTGATTCTAAAGATAATACGGAAAAATAAAAGACAATAACTAGGAAAGCTTTGAAAAGGAAGAACAGAGAGGAACTAGCATTGATAGGAGTCTTTCTCATCTCAGTTAATGGAACCACTTTCTGCCCAGTTACTTAGAGTAAAAGTCTATGGCTCTCCCCTGTTTTTTCTTTCTTTCACTTGCTACGAACCATCAACAAATGTGGAGTATATGTTTAGAACCATCCCAACGCATCAAAATTATGAAGCATCCTCCCATCTCTACCTGAGTATCTCTCCTATATTGAGAAAGGTCCCCTTAGACATTAGCAACCCACTCAAGCATTCTCTAGTTCCAAAGGAGAGCCTCCCAAATCCCCACAAAAACTAAAATCAAAAATAAAACAAAACAAAAACCTCCTACTTCATCAGTACTGATGATTTCAGCAAGGAATTGAAAAATACATAAAAATCCAGTGAGTTGTATATACATATAATTAACAATCTGTAAAGTTTTAAGCAAAACAAAAAAATATTGAGATGAATTGCAATCAGCATGGAAAGATCTTTTAGGTAACTTTACTTCCCCTTCAATAATATCTACTTAACTTGCTATTAGTCCTAAGTGAGTTTGGCTAGAGATACCCATGGTAACTATCAAAGTTATATTTAGACTTGATTGATAAGTTTCTGACTATGGGGATATCAAACCATGGAAAGGTAGATCAGATGATGACAGCAAAAGAGAAGTGAACCAAGGGAGTTAAAAGCAAATGTATTCAAATAACGCCTCAGACCCTTCTGCCTTTGCCCCTTGCTGATGAGCACCTTGATACCGGTTCTGCTCCTGAGAGCTTGCTATTCTGCTAACTATATTCTTATTTAATCTGTGAAAACTCTTGTCATTCCCATTTTCAATTCTGGTGCCCCATTACTTTTCTTCAAGGAATTGTCTGTCTTGCTGCACGTAATCCTTTCTATCTCCTCAACTTTTAACTAGGGTAACCAGTACTAACAAGTTACAGCAGCTACTCAGTAGACTGATCCTCAGATGACTTTTTCCCAAGATCAATTTTATCCTCTTATTGTGCATATGATAACAGCCTGGGCGAGGA